ATGCCTTGGAATGGATTAAATGAATTTATACCACTTAGAAGGGAGTTTACGGCCACACACTTGGAGTTTACGGCCGTAAACTCACCCATGGTCAAGAAAAATTGGTTTAAGGCACAAGAAGCAATCACATGTGATTCTAACTAATTTTCTAAGGCTTGGTATCAATTTTTGGCTTCAATTAACACCTTTGTATGAGTTTACGGCCCATATGCATACCCTCTGGCCGTAAACTCTAATATGATTAAGAAAAAAACTAGTTTTTGATGCTTAAAACAATCACATGTGATTCTAGGAATTTATCCAAGTCTTTGGGGTGGTTTAAGGGCATTTTTGGCATGTCTTTATGAGTTTACGGCCAAAGGCTATGTGCTTAGGCCGTAAACTCCAATATGTAAGGTATTTGATGTGTTTAAGGTCTCCAAACCAATTTTAGATGGTTCTAGGATTTACCACAATGTCATTGGTTGAGTTTCAAGGCATTTGGACATGTTTTAAGACACTTAATCCCCATTTTAGAGGAGTTTACGGCCCAAGCGCATGCCTTGGCCGTAAACTCCTGTTTGTCCCTCAAAATTCATGTTTAATGTGTTCCAAGTCCAGATTTGCAAGCCTCAAGGTCATATCTAAGTCCCAACTTTGATTTGGAAGGGTAAATTTGGCTTAAAAACCCCATTTTGAGGAGTTTACGGCCCAAGCTTGATCCTTGGCCGTAAACTCATGTTCTTGGTCCCAAAACTTAATTTAAACATCAATTTGAAGGCTAAAGAGGTTAGATAACAAGTTAGGGATGTTACCTCTTTGATTTGGAGCCTTAAATCTTTGTTTTTGGACCTTTGATTATGGATGAGGAGAGAGGTTGGAAGTGTTTATGAGAAAATGGCCAAAGGCTTCAAATGGAGGCTTAAAACACATTATATAGTGTCTAAGATTTGGACACGGTGGAATTCTACCCGATACCAGCGTTAGGCGAGGCTTTTGGTTGTACCCGATTAGGTTGTCGTAACCCGATATGGTAAATTCTAGAAATATTCCGATCACTAAAGTGGGGTGTTAAAATGATTTCTAAATGTATTAAGACACCCATTAAGTCATTTTAGATACGCACCAGTTAATGACTTAATTAAACAGAAGATCAGAAATCGAATTTGGAAACGACGATTGGTTGCGTGAATTGTACTACGAAAGAGTTACAAGAGATGATACGGAAATTTCGGGTTGTTACAACGGGGCATAGCTTCGCATAGGGGCAACGTGGATAATCCGACGCCTAGTCGTCAAGTACGCTGGGCGTACGAGAGTATACTAGGCGTAACTCGGATCGGCCTGGTGACTCCTCCTTCGGATAATAACGAAATTTAATATAAAATTTATATTTTTATTATTTAATAAATTTCAAAAATTCATATCTTCTTCATACGAACTCCGTTTTCGACGTTCTTTATATCCACGCCTAGGTGAGACTACGCTCTACAACTTTCATTTAGATTCCGTCGGTAAATTTTGAAATTATTTTTATTATTTATTTTTAAAATATCGCGGTAAAAAAATTTCGTTAGAAATTCATAACTTCATTATCTAATGTCTGTTTTTGCCAGACTTTTTGCTGTTGAAAAACCATTGCCGAGACCTTCGATTCTTATTTAGGTCATTTCGTCCAAAAGTCGCTCGATCTCCGTTTCGAGTTTTTAGCTGTCTGTTACTAATCCGAACTTGAAAAATTCATAACTTCCTTATACGAAGTCAGATTTGGGTGTTCTTTTTACATATGATCACGGTTTAATGACATCTAACATAGTAGGTAATTAATTAGAGAATGTTGGACATTTTATTTTCGAAGTTAATTTCATTATAACAAAAATTGGTTACAATACTTGACTTTTTAGGTCGTTACATAGACTTGTAATATCGGGTTGTCACAATATTTCAACATAATTAACAAATAAGTTTAGCATATTCAACAACAATACATCATGAATGAATAAAAAAAACGATATAAGCAAAGATTATACAACACAATCAACAAATAAGTTTAACAATTTAAGCACAAACTTGCATATAAACATAAACTTGATCTCCATTCAAGAAATACAAGTAGCAATTTAGTAATTAACTTTATGATTTAACCATATAAGCTTGCATATAAGTTTATATAAGTGTATGATTTCAGCAAGAATTATGGATTTACCCAACATTCATAACAATTCAACACAAAAATTCATAAACCTAAATATAATTTTGAGCAAGTTTATATGCTGAATTTAAACATCTAATTTATGATCTCTATTTTTTCTTTATAGTTTATATCTTGCTTTTACTTTTACTTTATGCAAATATTGAATATGCTTTCAATTTTAAGATCAGGTAAAGTAGTAAATTGCTTTCTAGACGCTTGGCTAGGCTTTATAATTTGCATCTGATTTACATAGAAAATAATCAAACTATCATATTTACAGAATGAGTTTTTCTTTTTGGTTAAGTTCCTGATCCATCGGCATAATCATATGGAGATTTAAGAATTGTTGAAAAAAAAGTTTGTATTTTATTTGTTGATCACCGATTCACTGGTGTCCTCTAAGAAATCAGCAGCGGTACACAATTGCATAAGAAATTAGAAAAAAAAAATTTACCTGATGTTGAAGACGATGGCAGCAATGATAGCACGAGATGTTGAAGATGATGGCAACAACAACGGCGACCGCGCGAGGGATGGTGAACCGCTGCCAGCGACCGGCGACGGAGGGGCAGCGGCGGCTGGAGTCGGTCTTCAGATCGATGAGAAGGGTGCCGAGAAGAAGAAGAACGAACGAACGAACGAAGGTGTGGAGCGGCGTTTTTTTGTTTAGGGTGTAGGGTGTTTTTTTTATTTAGATGAGGTTAGAAGTGGTTAAAAGAGCGAAGCCCAATGTTGTGTGGGAAGAGGACGGGAAGAGGTTTTTGAGCCCAAAATCTGAAAAAAAAAAAACAAACTCCTACGAACTTAAAAATGTTGCGTGCTGCACTACGCATTATTAAGAGGTTAGAAAAGTTTTTAAAAAAAAAAAAAAACAAACAAACACAAAGCGGATTGAAATAAAATATACAATAAAGTTGTGGGGCCAGAAAGAATTTTTCATTTTATGACCTAGATGAAATTTCTTGATATGACATAATGGTTGGTTTTCAAATTTATTAATATTAAGTTTAGTCTTTTAATTTAATTAAGTGTTTCAAAAAGATACCAAACTTTTATAATTTATATTTTAAACTCTTATATATTTATTGATTTAAAAAAAATAATAAGGAATAAAAAATAAACATTTGACTTTATTAACTATACTATTAATAATATATAGTAATTGTGTCAAAAATGATACCAATGTTGTATATTGCTCGTGTATGTTTTATATCTAATAAATTGACAAAATAATTTTGTTGAAGTAAAAAAGGTCTTGTCATTACGTCTAAAATAATATACAACATAAAAATGAAACGGAATTAGAGTTTGTGTTGTGTCCTGTCAAGTATAAAAAACACGAAGTTGTGCTCGGTTCAAAATTTAACACGAAATTGACATATTATTAACATGTGTTTTTCATGTTTAATTTGTAACATTAATTATGAGTTAACTAATATAAATATTTATTTTATTTTACATTTTTTGTATTTGTTGTGTTAATGGTTTTTATCGTATTTTAATCTCACCATTTTCGTGTTACTAAAACAAAATATGACATCATGATGTGTTGCGTCATCTGCATATTATATACAAAATATTGTATGGTGACGTGTCAACTTAAAACACAACACAACTACTTAGTTATAAAAAAAATGGTCATATCATGTTTTAAGGGTTGTCATATTTAATAATGGTTTGGTTGTAACAATTTTATTTTACGATTTGAACATATAAAATTGACAATATAGGTTATTCTATGTCGGATTCAATTTGAACAAAATGAAAGTTTAATGGTCGATGGTATAAAAAAAAAAGATTAAATATGAATAAAAGTGGTGGTTGGTTACATTTTAAGTCATTTTTCAATATCATGTGTCTACGACAATTAGACGTTAACCTCCTAGTAAATATATAACTTGAACATAATATAAGAAGTTCATTAACGGTGTACAAAAGAAAATTTGACCAAATATAAATAAAAGTATCAATTGGTTACCTTCATAAATCATCCTATCCCCCAAGGTTGTCAAGATCGGGATCCTACCTAGGATCGATTTTGGGTTTGCAAGATCGGGATCGTAAGATCGGGATCGAGATCCTAAGATCCCACAAAATAGAATATAATTTTAATTTATAATATTTAATCATAAAAACTATTTCAAACATTTAGTTTTTCATTCAAAAGTTATAAAAACTTCAAAATATTAGTCATAAGTCACAATAAAAAATGATAAATGGTAGATTGGTAAAGGGTAAAAGGCATAAAGTGGTAAAAAAAATTCATTTGTAAAAAAAAAAAAAAAAAAAAAAAAAAAAAAAAAAAATCAAAGGAAGGTAGGATCGGATCGGATCTCGATCCTACGATCCTACCTACGATCTTACGATCTTACCTGCGATCCTACCCCAAATACGATCCTTTTACGATCCGGATCGTTTTTCATACCTAGGATCGTAGGATCGTACGATCCTACGATCAGGATCGCGATTTTGACAACTATGCTATCCCCTATAATTTTATGTTAATAACATTTAAATAATAGGTGTGTGGAGTAGATTTTTAAAAAGTAAAAGATAAATTCCTGAAATACGTACTCAAATAGAATGATAGAATGGTGACAAATAAAAATTCAAATCATATAAGTTTCTTGAATTCTAAAAATCAAATTTGACCATATAAGCACAATCAATCACATCATCATCGTGCATTTGGATTTTTTTTTTTCGTGTATATATAACTAGCCGATCATATAGTTCATACTACTTTTATTTGTTTGTAATTGTTCTTTTCTTCTAAACAAAGAAAAATATTTTATTCTTATTTCCAAATTTACCCTCACCCAAAGTTTCAAATTACTCTTCTAGTACTACCTCTCTTCACCGACGTCATAGTGATACTCGAACCCAAAGCAGATGCACCGACATCGATGGAGAAAGAGTCATATCGCCGGAAAAGTTCAACCACGAACAGCCTCGTTATCAGCACAACAAAGTCTTTTCCGGCACATTGCTTATTTCCGACCGTTGTACTCTCCGTCTCCGGTCCATTAGACCACCACACATACTTCAGCAGATTTTCTCCTTCTCCGACGAACCGATCGGCGACAAATTCCTCCGGCCGGTCAAATATTATCGGATCCTTAGTCGCAAAAGGTTGGAACCCGAATAACATCTCACCTTCTTTCACATTGAAAACAGCATCATGCGACTCAATAGTAAAGTCACGTTTAGCTTTGCCATATTGGAGAGGCACTGGTGGATCAATCCGAAGACACTCGTACACGACAGACTTCACCAATGGCATCTGATCTATCGCTGCCATTGTCACCTTACCTTCGCCGTAGGTTTATATAGCACCTCTGATCTCTTCCGCCAACTGGGTATGCAAATTTTCACCGGCAAGCCCGATCCATTTGAGTGTATCCGGGAATAGGATCTTGACACCACCGAAAGTATTGAAGCACACAGCGAACAAGATATTGTGTAATGCTTCTTCTTTTGGAATCTCTGATTTTACAGCTTCGCCGATAACAGTAGTGGCAACTGACTCGAAGTAATCGTAAAGTTTCTTGTAACTACTCTTTACCAGGAATGACGGTAGCCGGAAAGTATGGAGGAGAGGCTCCTCCAAAAACCATGGAAGTCCGGCGGTGAGGATCGGGCTGAGATTGAATAACACCCACTTGGTGATCAGCTTTGGACCATCTTTTCCGATATTTGTTTCTTCCGGGTTGGAGTTGAAGTAAGCCCGGCCTAGAAACCGGAAAGCTGCTACCTCACCGGCGTCGTTGAATGGAGCTTTACCGTTTTTGGCTAACTCTGTTTCGAGACTCTCGAAAAGCTCGGTGTAAGTGGTTTCGAATTGAGGAATTACTCTGCTGCTTGAAGATTTGAGCATGAAGAACAGGAGGTTCTTAAGCTGAGCATGTCTAGGCTCAGAAGGGTCGAGGTATGAGAGTATACGGTAGCCGCCGGTGAGTTTGGTGGAAGGCCTGTAAGTTCCGGTGAACAGGTCTTTCTTTTCGACTTTGGAGACATCAAAGAGAATAGGAAAGCTTTTGGCGTCGAGGAGGACGATGACTTTTGAGTTGCTGCTGACAAAAGGGCCAGGTGGCATGTTTGCACGGAACACCGTGGAGTTGAATTTCTGGATGCGGGACCTGAAGAACTCGTCTCGGCCGCCGGTGCCATAGAAAAACTCGAGTCGATCTTTGATTGGCCCGAAAAATGGAATTCCATAGGAACCTGGGATGTCACGGAGAGGACGATCAGGAGAGGTGTTGACCTCGCTAAGTGTTGGAGAAGTGATGGATTGCTTTTCGGAGGGGGCCGTACCACGGCGGACAGCGGTGGTGAGTGCGGCTGTGGAATTAAGTGATAAAGAATCCATTTTGAGTGTTTGCATGTGTGAGGACATACGACCATCTTATATATAGAAAAAGACGAATAAAATATATATATTTTTTTTTTGAAAGGGAACTTCCAGAGGGTTTCCGGGCAGCTTTCGCGCACCGATTAATCCCCCGCTGCAAACATGAGGCTTTGCCTCATGCCCTGGAGTCACTGCAGACAAACCTCCATGGCCACAAGGGCTTAATAGTGCCAGGATTTGAACATGAGTCAATAGGTTACCCACCATATCTTCCACATGCCTTACCAAGTCACCACAACCCAAGTGGGTTAAAATTTTGTTATATGGATATGGGAAATCAAATAAAGTACTAATATTATGGGAAATTTATGATTTAGTCTCAATTTTGTTTATAAAAATAAACAAATTATCGGTTAAAACTTCATAATAATCATTGGTGAATAATAATCATTGGTGACTGGTTTCGTAAATTTAAAAAGTAGCAGCTAGTCTTGCCTTGGATAGACCACAAAACACATATTCGTGTGAACTTTGATACCTCATTTCACTCACGCGCACACACACGTTCCACATTAGAAACTTTTATGTGCGTGCACATGAAAAGAAAAAGACACATCTATTTGAAAAGTGTGTATATGTATCCCTTATCGTATCATTCTTAATTTTGCAGTAGATAGAAAGACATAGAGGGAGAAAGATGGGACATGGATTAAGGTTTAAAACAACCAATAAAATGAAGAAGAAAATAAGTATTAACGAGAAATGTTATCTAATAGATTTAAGTATACATGATTAGTATTATTATGTACGTTTTGTGGTTATCTCAATACTTAAACCAATGTTTAAATCAAAAGAAAATATACAATATTTTTATATGAATTTCATCTTGCAATCATGGAGCACTCTACCTTCCGTAAAGCTTTTCAGACAAATTTATGAAGTTTGTTAGTTTTTTGGATTGTATAGATAGTTTTTTAATAAATATTATGACTTTAAAACTGAATATATAACAATGTATAAAACAAAATGAAAAAATACACTCATTTAAAAAACAAACCATTTTTAATATATTGATAAAACGGTTATTCCGAAGTTTTAGTTGAATTAACGAAAAAAGTCACAATATTTTAACGAATTAACGAAAAGAGCTGGAATGCTGACTAAATCTGCGAAACCAGCCACAGAGGGTTATTTTGAAGTTTTAGCCGGTATCCTGTCATTTTGCGTAAATAAAATTTAATTTGGGACTAAACTGTAAACTGACCTAACATATTAGGACTTTATTGGATATTTCCATATTTTTATTTGTATTTGTATTTATATTTTTTGGCATATACCTTCCATTATTTATTTATTCATTGTAATTGTTTTTTAAGCTATCGGCTATAGGCAAGAAAGAATAACACCGTTAGAAAGACATTTCAGTATAAATATTCTTCTTCTTTCGTCACATTTTTTAGGGTGGTGTTCCAAGCCTTCAATGCATTTGTGATGCCAAGAAAGAAGAAACAATGAGGAAAAAAATGGGAGTTGCCCTTCATTGTCGTTACCATGTCTTATTCCTTAACGGGAATGGGGTGGTGTTTCCGACGTTATACTGGCGTTGTGGAGTGTAGGGTCGAAAGTAGATAGTGAGAGTTGAAAGCTATATCTTTCGTTATGTGTCTGCAGGAATCGAAAGCTGAGTACTTTCCATATGTTATCTATTTATAATGCATTATAGTTTCGATACGTCATGTATAGTCCATGTATTTTTTGTATGGCTGTTGTACCCTATAAATATGGTAAGTACTTATGTCAGAGTAGAGGTTCGAATATTCTCATATCACATTTTATAATCTCGTTCTTGTACTCTTCAGAGGTGAAATTGAGCCAAATAGATTTCATTTAGATTTGTGTATCTTGTGTTGTTTTTTTTTTCTTAATCAATTGATTCATTCATCATTTTTAACACACTTCAATTGGTATCAGAGCAGGATTCATATCATCGATTGAAGTTTTCTCGTATTCTTCATCTTTTTGAATCGCTCTTTCCGATTCAAAATATACCAAGATTGAAACATGAAATTGGTGTCAATCGATTGAGTAGTATCGATCATGCATTTTGTGTGTTAGATCAATTTTCGTTGATTGATTTCTCTCTTTGATTTCTATTTGATTAAAACACTTCTTTCTTCAAAAACCGTACATCAATGGCGAACTTCAACTTGAATATGATGACAAATTTCTCTCATTTGCTTGGATCTGCAACAAGAATTCCGATATTGATTCTTAAATATTACGAACAGTGGAATGACAGAATGGAGGATTACTTGAATGTTATTGATAAAGATCTGATGAAGTCGATCATTAAAAGTCCATTTCTTTTGGAGATGTTCTTGGAACTGCTGCAACTACTGAAGACATGATTACTCAAGGAAACAATATGAAAGAAATGACAAGAAGTGTTTGCGTGAATTATGTGGAGCTCTTCCATCAGTGGTTTACAACTATGTTTGTGGATGTTCAACTTCAAAGCAAATTTAGGACACTCTGAAGGAGAAGTATAAAGGTAACGAGAAGACGAAGAAGAGTTCAGTCACTCCATGCTTGTTGGAGTTAGGTGAGTTCAAACATAAGGAAAGTGAATCAATCGAATCATATTATGATTGATTGAATGAGTTGATCTTCAGATGTTCTCGTTATGGAGTTACTCGTTCGACACTAGAATTCAATGTGACCTTTTTTATGGGATTAAGAAAGGAATAGAAATATAAGTTTGATGATTAAAACATAGGAGAACTTTGATGGTTACTCACTATAAAATCTTTACAACGTCTTGAAAGCTCATGAAAATGAGGTTAAAGATATTGCTCATGAAAACAAATCAATTTTGGGTGGACCATTGACATTGGTGTCGAAAGTCTCTACAAAGAAATTTAAATCTGATGAAGAAGCTAAATATGGCAAAAAAATGATTCTTGTTCAATTCTGATGACAAAGTAGTTGCATACTATTCGAACAAAAAAAATTCAAGAAGTTTTTCAACAAGCCATTGAATGCAAAGTTCAAAAACAGTTATTAGATTAAGGGAGTGTCGATGTCTAGGAAAAGAGTGAAGGATGTAGCAAAAGTTGAAAAGAAGGAAGTAGATAGTTTGAATGAGAAGAAGAAAGAAATAAAGTTGAAAGATGATTCAGGTTATAATTGTAACTATTGTAATGGATACAATCACTTAGCAAAAGACAGTATGTTGAGGAAGAAGGAAAAAGTGAAAGCTTACTATATGAAGAAGCTTGAAGAGATCTGTTCTCGAACAAAGAACATTTCATTGATTGCTAGAGGAAATGATGAATAGGATGGTACGTATCAAATCTGGTCTTCAGGATAAGGTGATGAAGAAATGTGTCACCCCACACATGTTGCTTTGCATGTGAAGCTTGAGGAGGACGATAGGGAAATGAGTTTGAATCAGGATATGAAGAAGAAAGAGTCTCTGGAAGGTGTTTTGTGCTGATAGATGCAACAAAGTCACCAATGGCACCGAAGGTACGTGATCTTCTTACTTCATTTAAAAATCATTTGACTTCTTATAATGATGTTTTGATTGATTGATAATATTTGTGCTTACCTTGATGACATATTAATCTCCATGAGTAGTGAATCTGGAAAATCCAACTCCCAGTTATATGAAGCTCATAATAAATTGGAGGAAAAGAAAGGATTAGTTGAGTCTCTATATTTAAGAATCACAAATCTTTTGATTGAAAGAAACACAATTAGGATGGATAATATGATGTTAGTAAAACAAAGAAACATTTATTGTAACTCGGCAAGAAGATAGTATGGAAAACTAACTGAATTGTATCATTCAACAGAAATATGTGATGAACAACATAGAAAATCAGTTCGATTTCTTGCTTTCAAAAGAGAACAAATAGATGACATCACATATGATTGCGAAAGTAAGATTATCGATTATGATAAAATACCAAATGATTCTTATGCATATGATATTGTTGATATTAATGCATGTTTGAATGTTGATGATCTTATGAAAATTGTGAATGAGATCTTAACCAAAAATGAACAAGTTATGATTTTGAACATGACTGAGAAGTCGACACTTAGTTCTTAACAAAATTGTGCTAATATCAAAGATAATTCTGACAATATTAGTCAAATTAAGAAAGTGGAATGTGTTGATTTCTTACAATTGTTTGTCATTAATGTCACTTTAATGGCTAAAGTAAAAGATAATGATGATCCAATGACGAAATTAAGCAATGGTCAATCTTCAACAATTGAAAAATGTGATTTTTAAGATACTATTGTTGTTGAGGATTATGTTAGTGATGATGATGAAGTTTCAAATGAGAAACCCATTCCATGTGTTGTGGAAGATCAAGTTTTCGAAGGAAATGGAAAACAATACCAATCACGAAAGTATTCTCAAGAGCAAATTCAAAATGCCTAAGAGAAGTATTTGAATGAGTCAATGAGTGGAAGCACTTCATCTCGAGAATCTACACCAAGAGTGGGAAAATGGAAAGAAGTTAAAAAGGGGAAAATTGATGTTTCTTAGAAAAAGGTTGAAAAAGAGAAAATCAAAGTTGAAACTTCGTCATTACATGATTATATATCGATATCTAAAGTTGATGAAGTTGACTTAATTGACAACTTAAAATCGAATGTTCATAATTGGGTTTTAAGTTCCTCTTTGCACAATATGCTTCAAACTGATGTCCAAGGACCCAAAAGGTCTTGGAGACCTAAATTTTTCTAACTAATTGCAGGCACTATTTGACAAACAATATGATGAAAATTGGTATATCGATAGTGGATGCTCGTGTCACATGACTAGAAAGAAAGATAATTTAAGAGATTTTTGAAGGTTAGAAAATGTTGGAGTAGTCAAGTTTGGAAATAATAAAAAGTGTAAAGTCAAAGGATATGTAAAGTGGTGAATGAAAAATTCACAGTGAATCGAGTCGCTTATGTTAAAGGATTGAAACATAATTTGATTACTGTTTCACAAC